GGGGAAACTAGAAGGCAGTTTGGCAGAATTTTGGCATAGAATTATTTAAACATAAAAGATGGTATCATAAATTAGAGGAGCATGGAAAATTTTACTTCAAATTTGTGAATAAGGGAAGAGTTTATGACCAAATGACATAGAGATGACCATAGGAAGTATAATGAATAATTTTGACTATATGAAATTGAAAAGATTTTGCACAAACAAAACCAATGTAGCCAAAATTAGAAGGAAAGCTGGAAACTAGGGAAAAGTTTTACAGCAGGTTTCTATGACAAATGCCTTATTTCTTAACTATTTAGGAAATTGAGTGAAATTTATAAAAAATAAGAGCATTCCCCAATTGATAAGTGGTCAAAGGACATAAACAGGAAATTTTCATAAGAAGAAATCACAGCTATCTATAGTCATATGAAAAAATGCTCTAAATCACTATTGATTAGAGAAATGCAAATTAAAACAACTCTGATTGTCTAACATGATAGAAAAGGAAAATGACAAATGCTGGAGGAGATGTGGAAAAGTAGGGACACTAATACAGTGTTGGTGGAGCTGTAAACTGGTCCAACCATTCTGGAGAATAATTTGGAAGTGTGCCTAAAGGTTATAAAACTGCATACCCTTTGACCCTGCATTACCACTATTAAATCTGTATCTCAAAAAGGTCAAAGAAAAAGGAAAAGAACCTATATGTCCAAAAATATTTCTAGCAGTTCTTTTTGTGGTGGCAAAGAATTGGAAATTGAGGGGATGTCTATCAGTTGGGGAATGGCTGAACAAGTTGAGATAATGATTGTGACAGAATACTATAAGAAATAACAGGGTGATTTCAGAAAAAAACTTTGGAAGACCTATATATATATATATAAATTGATGCAAAGTGAAGTGAGCAGAACCAGGAGATCATTGTACACAGTAACAACAATATTGTAATGATGATCAACCATGAAAGATTTAGCTACTCTGTCCATGGCTATTCTAAAGCCCTCATGATGAAAAATACTATCCGCTTCCAAAAAGTTGATGAACTCTGAGGCAGGTTGAAGTATAATTTTTTTAAATTTTCTTTATTTTCCTTGTTTTTTAAAAAATATGGTTAATATGGATATATGTTTTACATGTTTTCATATGTATATTAATACCCTATTGCTTGCCTTCCCAAATAGGTGAGAGAGAAGCCAAAGGGTGAGAGAAATTTTTTTTTAATGTAAAAATAAATAATAAATTAAAAAAAGAAAATTGAATGCACTTTCATATTTACCTTAAAAGGATTCAGTTTTCTCAGAACTTTCTTTGCCCTCCTTTCCCAATTCCTCAGACCAAGTACTTAAATATAGTTTAGTCATGAGAAAATAATTATTCTGTTTACAAAAAGTGAACTTAGATGTTCTTTACAAGAATGTTTCAGTTGCATAAAGCTATGTAGACCTGGATTAATACTGGTAGCATCACTTTCTAATGCCATTTTCAGTACCATTGAACATGAAACAAATTATATTCCACTAGACTATCTTGTCTGTCTTTGCTTAAGTCACTGGTTTGGAAACCAATCACAACATTCAACTTTCTTTATGTGTGGCATGTACCATTATTAGTAGTATGGTATTTTAGGATCTGTTTGTAAATGTGTTCTGTTATTCCTGATTGTCAAAGGCTCATCTCCTTTTGAATTTATTGTAATCAATTATGTGATTGCTTGCTTCAGAACACAAGATGGGAGGTTTTTTAGAATGTTTCTTGATACTTCAGTTTCAAGCATCAGTGCCACAATTTTGATTGTTCATATAGAAGACTCTCTTCATCAATTCAAATTGCAGTGGTCCATAAATTATAGTTATATGCAGTTGTCTGAGCCTGAGAGAATTAATGGTTTGCTCATGGTCTAACAGTTAGTGTCAGAGGCAGAATGTTAGCCTATATTTTCTGGATTCCAATTCTAGCACCCTATTCACTATGCTATGTCACTGCCACTTTTATACTAGTCAAGCCATCTGAAAAAAGTGTTATGTGTTCCCTGAACAATTATATTTAGCTACTGCTAGAAATTCATTGTTCTGCTTTTCTTGGCACTTCTCAGGAGTTTTCAGATTGCCTGTATCAGTGCAGACGAACCACAGAAATCCCAGACTGCTTGATTGAATTAATCATTCCATAGTATAAACTAGACATGGACAAGCCATTAATTTCAGAGCAACAAAATGCTTTGATCTTTGGATAAACATAAATGATGCTACAAGGAATCATTTAGTGACTGCCTGAGTAGAAATACCTCTGGGCTTGTACACAAAACAACAAGCCAGGTGAGGAGACAAGCCAGACAAGGAGCCTCTAAGTCAGCAATAGTCCAGTCCAGAGGTGGGGGAGCTCCAGTCAAACCCTTGAGAGGGTGTCTGTTGGAGAGAGGAGGAAGTTTCCTCCTATCTTCTTCCCCCAATCCCAGGCCATTGTGTGAGTTTGAGAGATCCTGAGGTCCCATCAGAGAAGTTTCACCAGTGACCAGAGTTGGTAGCCATGGCCTCTGGAATGGTAGTGGCTAATGACAAAGGAAAACTTGCAGACAGATATGAAATGACAGCAACAACTTCAGGAAGTGAGAAATCCCGTGGCACAAAAAAGATTCAGCTGTGAATTCAAGAGAGACAACAACCCTTGGAGCCACACACAAGGGGACTTCATGAGAATTCTATGAAAGGAGAAAAAGACTTTCAGTAAACAGTCACTATTAATGATAAGTTAATAAACGATAAGTTTGATCACACATCTTCTCTACATTTATGCTTTACTACCATTGTTCTATCAAGGTCTACCCAAGGATGTTATGTCTGTAGAGGGAGGTTGTAGCTTCAGTTTTCAGGAATGTTTTTGTAACCTCTTGCCAAACCTTCCTCAGTAAATATTCTTTTCTAAAAGCTAATTGATGCTATTCGCTGCTCATAAATAGGGAACACTGGTAGGAACTTGTGAACAACAGTACTAGAAACCCAATGTCTCAGGGTTACCCCTAGAACACTGATTACTAGCGGTGATTCTCTGGGTACCCTAAACTACACATGTGAGTACAAACTGGAGAAAGTGAGCCTTGGTGAGGTTATTATGTAAAGTTAAGTCTTGTTCTTTACACATTGCTTAATGTTGACAGTAAATACTGTCTTTGCCCAAAATGTTTTAATATATACTTTTAAATTGTAAAAGTGAACGTTTTTAAGAGCCTGTTAATAGGTAGGTGGTTTTAGCAAAAGAGAACAGATGACACCTAGTGACTAAGAAAGGTAATAGAAGACTAGAGGAATGAAAAGGGTTAATAATTTAATGAGGCTTTGAGTTAGGGATTACATCCTTACCTACTCTTATTTTAAAAGTAGAATACATTTTTCTGCTGTGAATAAATGAAAGAAAATATCTGTAAGAGTAACACGAGTGGTTACTATGCTGTTTAGAAAAAAACAAATTTGATGATGAAAAGGATTCCCCCCCACCTCAACCCACCCCCCAGCCAAGTAACTCAAATGTCACCTCCACAGAGCATTGGAAGCATAGTGTGGTGAAAAGAGCCCTGGACTGAAGTCAGAAGACCTGGACTTGAGTCCTAGCTCCTCTGTTTCTCTAAAAGCTGTGGGTCCTTTTAAAAAACATCACTTAACTTCTGAGTTCCATTTCTTTATAGTTAGCAGTGCCCTCTCTACCTTAAAGGGTTGTAAGAACTGAGTATATGTAAAAGCACTTTGTAAGTTATGTGTTACACTGGCATTTTTTAAATTTGTCTTGATCATATTACCATTTTGCAATTAATCGGTAAATAAGCATTTATTAAAACACCTACTAAGAGCCAGGCACTTTATTGGGCACCAGGAATACAAAGACAAAACTAGAGTTCTGATGAAGAAAACAACACGTACACACATAAGTAAATACAAAATATATAGTCAGTTTGAGAGGGGCACTAGTAGCTAGGGAGAGGTGAGGAAAGCTCTCATGTACAAAATGGCACTTTAAAGGAGCTTTTATAGAAACTAGGGATCCTAAGAAGTAAAGTTGAGGATAGAAGGCATAACAAGTATGGGGGCAGAGAGGACAGCTTGTGCAAAAAGCAGGAAGGTGAGAAATAGAATGCCATAAGGGAGGGACAATAAGTGGACCACTTTGGCTGGAATGTAATGTCCCTAAAGGGGAATAAGGTGTAATGTACCTGGAGAAGTAGGCTAGAGCCAAATTGTAAAGCTCTCTAAGAGCAAAACATAGGAGTTTGCATTTTATCTTAGAGGTAGTAAGGAGCCACTTGAATTTATTTGAGCTCAGGAGTGACATCATCAATCAGATCTAGCCTTTAGGACTCTCTTTGGCATTTTTGTGGAGGATGGACTAGAGAAGGGAGTCCTGAGGCAGGGAGACCAATTAGAGGTTATTGTAGTGGTAAAGCTTAGAGATGATGAGCATCTGAACCTGAGTGATGACTGTGAATAAAGAAAAGGGGATAAATTTGAAATGTTGTGAAGATAAGATCAATGTTTGGATATTGGGAGCAAAGGGAGGGAGAGAGAGTGAAAAGGAGAGGATGCTTCCAAGGTTGCTTCACAGCTATTTGGCATCTACAAGGTTGGTGGTGTCTTTGACAGAAATACTGAAGTTGAGATTTTTCATAATAACAAATAACCATATATCCCTCTATGTGGGGGCTAGATTTGGACCTGAATGTCATTTCCAGATAAAAAATGAATGTATATTTCTTTCAAGGAATCTTAAAATATGTCTCAGAAAACCTTGGAGTTTAGTGGGAGCCAGTTGAAAAACAGCTGTTCTGGGGCTTACTTCAGATGTCCCTTGGGTATACATTGCATATTACCTGCCTGACTCACTAATTCTCTGCGTAACTTACCCCAAGAAGTTAAATTCAGTTCATTCTGAATGAAATCCAAAAGGTCTCTCCACCCCCCCCATAAAAAAAAAAGAGAAATGCCTTCTTGGTTCAAATTTCCTCTCATTTGATGCTCTTTTCTTTCTAGATAAAGAAGAAACAGCAAGATGTAGTGCGTTTTCTGGAAGCCAACAAGATAGAATTTGAGGAGGTAGACATCACAATGTCGGAGGAGCAAAGACAGTGGATGTATAAGAACATTCCTCCAGAAAAAAAACCAGATCAGGGCAATCCAATGCCACCACAAATATTCAATGGAGATCGATACTGTGGTGTAAGTAGCCAGAACGGTATATTATAAAACTTGGGTACATATGGATGTTGATATATACACATATATATGTAGGTGTGTGTATATATATATACAGAGAGAGAGAGAGAGAGAAATCTAAGATGTATATTTCTATCTACATTGTATGATATATAGCATGTACAAAATATTTTATATAACATAGATGTGGATATTATGTAACAGAAGACCCAGAACCCTTTCTCTTAGGTCTTTCCAGACATAATATTAATTTTGCCCTAAAGCTTTAAGAAGAAATGAACTGGAGGAGATAGAAAGATGCTTAGTGCTCAAAAACATATATGGGACCTTGGAGTTAAGATGTCTAAGTTAAAACAGGCAATTTGATTCTCATTAGGGTGGAAAAATAGGATAATAGGGTTTATCAAATGAAATAATTTATGTGAAATGCTTTGCAAATATTAAAGTGCTATGGAAATGTGTGCGTTTATTGTTACTTAAGATAATTTTGAAGTAAAAGCAAGGGGAGTTAGAGTAATGGAGCACAAAGTTCTAAGATGGACTAGTATTTCTGGTCCAGTCATCTTCGCTTTTATGTAATGAAGGGTAGCTTTAGTTGCAGAAGCTATACCCTCTATAATAATGAATGCATTTAAAAGAGTTTTGCAGAGGTGAGGAGCTATGTGCTGCATAAAATGTCATACTTTTTCAATATTTAGTTTAATTTTGCTGAATTTTTTTCCTTTCCTCTTTTTTATTCTTTATTTTAAGGGATAGAGAAGGGAAGGATATATTGGGAAATGCAGGCAATACAAAAACAAAAGGTAGCATTACATTTTTAAAAAGATGGACTTTACCTCCTTAGAGACTTAGTAAATTCTTTAAAATGGGCAGCCTTGCATAATCCTTTAAGTAAAAAATTCCTCCAACTCTTGGAGGAAGGGGATTTTAAAGTCTTAAAATTAAGTTCATTCTTCCCTCAGATTTTGAAAATAAATGCCTATTTTTTGATCTCCCCTTTATAGCACAGAGCAAATCATATAAAGCCATAGAATATTAGAACTAGAAGAACTTAGAGATCATCCAGTCCAATGCTCTCATTTTATTTGTTAACAAATAAAGGCAGCTAGTAGGAAGATCTGATTTCAAATCCAACCTCAAACACTTGGTAAGTGAGCAAGTCGCTTAAATTTTGGCTGCCTTAGTTTCCTCAAAGTGCTGTTAAATGGGGCTAGTAATAGCACCTACTTCCCAGAGCTATTATGAGGATCGAATGAGCCAATATTTGTAAATCATTTAGCATAGTACCTGGCACATAGTAGGTGCTTGTTCAGTTCACAAATGAGAACAATAATAATAGCTAATATTTATATAGCACTTTGAGGTTTGCAAAGTATTTTATACATGTTCTCTCATTTGTTCAGAAAGATGACCTCATCGCTTAGGGAGATTCACTAACCCATCCCCCAACACACACATGCTAAGATCTAACCTAAGTAGGGGGAGAGCAGTGACTGGAACTCTCCCTGACACCCAATCCAGGGACCTCTCCAGGACAACCTCTTCCCTCCCTTTCTCTTACTCTACTTCTGAATTTGCTTTACTGTATCTCATGAGTTTTTTGGTCAGGTGGAATATTTTGGGGGTTGTCATATGAGGCAAATAAATACATAGAATCTGCTCTTACTGAGCAGCTTAATCCCAGGCTGCTGCTGTAGAATGTGTTCTTCTGTCCTTTTTGTCTGGTCTGGAAGGAATTCTGCAGAGAATATCTATGCACACCAAGGTCACTTACATTTTATTGCAATAAAATTACTAGGGAGTAAGTAGCCAGAAAGTTAAATTCACTAACCTTCCTTTAAAAAGGACTGAAGCTTTCTTTTTTGGCTCTTGGCTTTTCCCTGTCTCCTGTCTAGCTGGTAGAAGGGTTTGGATTTATCTTTTTGATCAGTGGATAGGAGTAGAAATATAAGACTTCCCTCCCCTTTCTCCCCCACCGAGATGGCATGTAAAGATGAGCTGGTCCAAGCAGGAAAAGAGCAAATGAACAGGCCAATGAAAGGATCAGTTCTGCCCTTCTTTCCTGATCCCCTGATCTCTAAAGGAGAAAAAGAGAAAAACATATGACAACTCTTATTCTTCCTCACCTTGATATTCCTCACCTTACCCAACAAATATGTTGTTGTGATAAAAGCACTTTAAAGACTGTGAAGTGTTATAGAAATGAAAGAATGGATGTAGCACTATGAAAACAAAGGACTGTGTTTCTCACTTCCTACCCAAAGAAGTGCTTAAAAATGTTCATTGAATTGGATTGAACAAGGCCAAAAATTGATCTGCAAATACACCTTATTTTATGCATTAGGTTTATTCCCCAAAAGTGTGAATAGATCTGATACCCAAAATTAAGTTGTGTTTTAGGTATATTGAGGAAACTAAATTCTTTCATAAGACAAATCATCACTCCCTAATTTATCAGCTTTGCAAATTCAGCTTTCACACACTAAGTTTTCCTTAAACAGAGCTCACACATGTAAAAAGCTAGCCTGTAGCCAGAACTGTTAAAATAAATATGGTGCTGGTGGCAAGAGAAGATTAAGGCCCTATGGTAAGATTGGTCATGAGCATTTATTATTAATCTCTTAATATGTGTGAAGTATTGTATCAGGTCCCAGATCAGGAGAGGAAATCTCATGGAAGAACCTATTCTAGATTTACTTCCAGTTTGCTGGGTCCTTTAGCTGACCCTCAGAAGTTTCTTAGAGGTTTACTTTAATTTCTTAGATTAGATGGGAGAAGATTTGGGGAGAGATACTATATTATTCAGATATTAAGGTCCACCATTTTAAAGCTCTGACCTTAATAATAATGATAGCTAGCATTTATATAATTCTTAGGGTTTGCAAAGCGTTTTACAAATAACATCTCATTCATGTATCCCAAAACCCTGTAAGGCAGGTGTTATTATTATCCTCACTTTATAGATGAGAAAACTAAGGATGAGTGGTTCTGTGATTTGTCCAAGGCAATACATCTATTAAGTGTCTAAAGACAGGGTCTGAGGTTTTAACTCGGTCTTCTAGCAGTCTTTCTATTATACCACACTACCCAGCTGCCTCATAAGGTACCTTTAGTAAGTGTTGGTGGGGGATGGGGTGTCATTTCAGGAGAAGTCCCATAACTAGATCATATATCTCAAAATTGTTCAGAGATTTAATACAGTAGGTGGTAGTTCCAGTCTGTTGTGGTCTGGCTTCCACAAACATTTTTAACCTGATTTTAACCTGATTTAACCTAACTGGTAGAAGTTGCAATCTCAGTGAGAAAATGGACCATTTCATTTTTGCCTTGTTTTCCTCAATGCCTTCTATATATTAGGCCTCTAATAAATGTTTGTTAAATTTAATTGTATCAAAGACTGCCCCTTCCCCTTCTTCTTCATCAGGTCTGTGTTCCAGCCAGCTTGGACCACTGCTGCACTAAACTTGACCTTTATTGTCAGCTTCTGTATATTCACGCAAACCATCTGTGAGGCCTGGGATATACTCATCTTTTCATCTCAAATTCTGTCTTCCTTCAAGGCTCTGTCACATCTTCTGGGAAGTTTTTCTGATTGCCCAGTTGTTAAGTGGTCTCTTCCTCTTTAACTAACTTTGTACTATAATTATTCCTGTGTACATTATGTCCCCTAGTAGAATGTGTGTTCTTCTAACAATAGGTACTGCTTCATTTTTCTTTACTTCCTCAGTGCCTAGGATAATACCTGGCACATAGTACGCAGTTAATCTTTGTTGAATTGCTATGTCGATTCCCGAATTTGTCCAGCTCTTCGAATAGTTGACCACACCACTATTCCACTATTTCACTAATAAAAGCCAGTGCTCAGTGTTTCAGGTTTTCAGTTCTAGTGAATCGTAAGCCTTTCTAAAATTGTATTTAGTGAATCTTGTCTAAGATACTACCACAATTTGAAGCACCTCTGTGCTAAATGCTACATTTTTTCATTTCAAAGATTTCAGTCTTTGAGCTTTTTGTAAACCTATATTCATAGTTCATAGGTTTAGAGCTGGAAGTGGCCTCTAGTACAACCCCATCATTTTACAAAAGAAGAAACTGAGGCCAAGAATATTTAAGCAACTAAGGTAGTCTGTCCAAAAGACTTGTTGTTTTTACCTCCAGGGAAAGCGTCTGAGAGGTATTTTCATTAATCGTATTTCAGCATTCAGCTATCTACAGCACTGAGACAGAAGCTTAGAGGTGAATGGGACCTCAGTGGCCATCTATTCCAACCCAAATCTGAATAAGAATACCTTCTATAGCAGACTCACCAAGTAGTCATCCTGTCACCCCTTGAAAACCTCCTGTGATGGTGAACCCACTTCCTCCTGAGGCAACACATTCTGATTGGGGACAGCTCAAATTGATTCTTCCGTCTGGTGCTAGTTCTTTCTGCCTTCTGGGGACCAGCAGAACAAGTCTGAGCCCTCTTCCAATAACAGCCTTTCCAATCTTTGGTGGTAACTATCATGAAGCCCTCATATTTTCTGTTCTCCACATTAAACAGCTTCTCCCTTCAGCCAGTATATGGTCCCCAATCCACTCACCATCCTTTTTGTCTTCTTTTGGATGACTCCATCTTGTTGGCAGGTGAGGCAGAGGTTAGCTCAAGGAGCTTTTAGCCCTGGAGCAGGCTAGAAAAGGGCAAATGTGTGTTGGGGGAGGAAATATGAATTTCTCACTCCCGCCAACAAATCTTGAATCTTGGATTTTATGTTCCAAAGCATAAAACTTTAATGATATCTTTCGCAATTTTATCTATTCTTTACAACTCCAGTTTCTTTCCTACTGCTTCTAAATGTTTAATCCTGCCCTTTTTTCGCCTTTACTAGGCTGTTTGCCTTAGTGTTCTGCAGTGATGAATTCATATGATGTGATTGCACCTTGAAAATGATGGCTTGTGCTGTGAATATTGAAACCCCTCAGCTAAACAGTTTTAAAGGACACCCACAATTCCATATTCAACA